AGCTCCCACTAAATTTTGCAAAAGCCGGAAAAATCGAGTTCTAACCTCGTTAAAATAATTGCATGAATAATTTAAAACGGCAAAATTTTCGCAAAATTGCATAGCTCAAAATTAAGCCAAAACCGCCCACTCGCATCCTACTGGGTTGTGCACCATGGTTGCTAGGAAGCCCATGGCCTGTGCATGTGGTGCTGGTTGCTAGCAAGCACGCCTAGCGCAGCTTGCTCTGCTAGCTAGCACGAGCAGCACGCTACGCATGCTAGCTGCTAGCTGCTAGCTGGCGCAGGCAGGAGTGGGCTGGCTGGCTGGGGCTTGCTGCCTCGCTGCCCAGCAGCAGCACAAGCACACAAGCAGCCTAAGGCCCATGCACCCAGCACACGCTTCACGCAACAGCAACCCTCGCACGCATCGCACAACAGCATCATGGCTTGGCCCCTTGTGCGCATCTAAGGCAGCCTACATGCGGGCTGCTGAGCAGCCCGACTGGCCTTGGTGACGCTTGGGGTTTTGGCCTCCATTTGCATGCATTTGTCTCAGGATTTTAATCCCGATTTACGTGCGACGTAAGATTAATCTAAATTTATTTTAGAATTAATTTAGGGCAAAATTGAAAATAAAACAAGTCCAACTTAATTAAATTCAATTTTAACGGTGCATAAGTCTAATTTTCCAAAATTACTTTGGAACATTTTAGGTCTTTCTTGATGCTTAAAATTTAAAGAGCTATGTCCATAATTAATTTAGCCAATATGCAAATGAATAATGGATTCGACAAATGGGAGTTGGAAAAACAAATTAACCATCTAATGATAAAATTTTTTCCAACTTTCATACTTGTGTAAAATATCAAGATTACATCTTCCAATATGAAGGTTAATCAAATTTTACTCACAAGCATTTGAACTTCATGGATTTTAATCAACCAAACATGAAAAAAATCCAAACTTTGTTCAATATGGAAATTAGGGTTAAAGTTCCAATCAATTAAACATTTAAAGATTAGATCTTTAACATACTTGGGAACTTAAAATTACACATTCACATCAAACATTCACACATAAATGCAATTTATTTGCATAATTGTGAAAAATCAAGTTTGTGTGACAAAAAGCATATCAACTCAAGCACTAATTAAAACTCCATAATTATGCTTGAGGATAATTAAAATAGCAGTAGATTACGGATGCAATAATGCATTTAATCTAACTTTGTAATGCTTGCATTAATCAAGGCTTAAAAGGATTTAAAATTTTCGTTGAAAAACGAAATCCCCCAGAAAAATGGGTTTCTGGTTGGAATTTGGCTTCTGGATAGCCCTAAAAGGAATGAATCTGTTCCAGAATGTCGATTCCACCCAGAATTCACTATTTTTGAGCCAAAATCTGTGTTCGACAACCAAATCGAGAAAAATACGAGTTTAAAATTAATTAAAATGAGCTTCTAATCTAATTAGAAAAGCAAAACTAGAAATTAAATCTTACTTAAAACCACCTTAATTAATAAATAATTGCAATAATTAAAAAAGAAGCGCGGCTCCGATACCGCTGTAGGGTTTCGTAGTGACCCCTCACTACGCGGAAAGAAACCCCCCAAGACCCGCCCCGATAAATAAAGCAATTAAACAAGCATAAACATAATTAAGCAATAATTAAAAGAAGAGAGAAAGAAATTATACCCTCGATGCTTGCTTCGCTCGCAAATCGAGCTCTTACTTCGAGAGCTCGAGCGTCACAAGTGTGACCGCCTCCGACGGCTCGTACGCACAAACCCGACCCGAACGGTCCAGGTCCCGAAGGTTAGTCGGGACCCGACCAATAAAAACTTAGAGTTTTACGAACTTAGAGGTTTTCTCACCTAATGGGAGATGCCTCATTGTGTTCTACTCAAGTGATTCCCATATGCCCAACACTTGGTTATTTATAAGGGAATGCTACTTGATTTCCCATTCTCCCACCAATGTAGGAGAATTTGCATTTCAATCATAAATGACAAGCAATAGATAATCAACAAGTGTCACATGGTGAGGAGAGTTTAGGTGAGGACCACATGGGGAACCATCACACCTTGCTCTCCAAGCCAAAACACCATCCGTTGGTCCCCACACAAAAGTCGGACCACCTTGCCACTTGGCTGCCAAGGATGAGTTGCTGCCCAGCCACCCCACGCACATGCGCAGCCAGCTAGCACAGGCTGCTAGCCAGTACATGCTGCTCCCTGGTGCATGCTGCTGGGCGAGTGGCGTGGCGCTACTTGTTGGCACACGCACATGCCCAGCACGCTGCTGCCTGGCTGCGAGGAGCTCTGCGATGGGCGAGGCCTTGGGAGCTTGGTGCGTGCCATCGCCTAGCACGCATAGTCCACAGCACAAGCACACATAGCGAGTTGCAGTGCGTGTGCTGTGTGCTACCTGCTTGCGGTAGCCAGGCCCAACAAGCACATGCGTGCTGCTGGCCTTGCGATGCATGCGGGCTGTGCTTGGCCATGCCTAGCATGTTGCGATGGCTGGTGCTGTTATGCTAGCAAGCACACCCAGCCATGCTAGCACAGCCACAACACGCACACACGTAAGGCACGCATCTTGCGATGCTTGAGCCATGCGATGTGCGTGAGTTAGGCGATGCTAGGCACGCATAGGATGGTGACTTCGCCTAGCCTAGTATGCGCATGGATAGGCCAATGCGAGGGTACGGCTAGGCTCGTACTTGTTGCTTGTTGATTTTCTGTCTCGTCAAATTCCAAATTTGACTCGACTTATGACGATCGGTCTCGACGCTCCAAGCTCGATATCCGACGTCTTTGTTCGTAAAACTCCGACGACTTATCAAATCCTTCGGATTGATTCGTCGTCTTGGATCGGTTGTTCGATTGGGTTCGAACCGAAGGGTTCAGTCAAGATTAAGCTGTAATATTAATTGTACATTAATATTACTGATCGGAAGCGGCCTCCACCTAGGCATTCCGATCACTTGACCTTACTGAAGAATTAGCTTTCCGATAATTCTGAACTCTCTATCGGAATAATACACTTGTTGGAAGGACACCATTCCTTTCAAGAGGAGAAGAGAAACATGAGAAGAGGAGGGAGAACGGCAAGGAGATGAGAGGAGGGAGAAGGGCGAGGAGATGAGAGGAGGGAGAAGTAGAAACCAGAAGAGAAGGGAAAGAGGAGAGGAGGGAGAAGGAGAAAAGAGGCGGAATAGAGGAGTGAGAAAATAGGAATGAGATCCGGCTTTTAAATGTAGGGTTTTTTTTTTTTTTAACCTGAATTCCGACGGAAAATTCTGTCGGAACATAAATTTTCTGACGGATTTTATTTCCGTAGGAAGTTTGATATTCCGATGGAAAATCTTTCGACGAAATTTTTTTTTCGTTGGAAATTTTACGTTCCGACGAAATTATCCGTCGGAAATTCTTTATTGTCCTACGGATAAATATTTCGTCGGAAATTTCCTACGGATAAAAAAATTCGTCGGAATTTCTTATTTTTCCGACGGAAATTCATGTCCGTCGGAAATAGACCTATTTCTAGTAGTGATCGGTTGAGGGAGATACTTTTCAACCCTATGGATAGAGTGTGCATGGCTAAGACGTCGGGATTACCTCCTCAAAGATTTACATTTCTTTATCTTTTTCCGGTTCCTTCGAGGAATCATGAGAAACTAGCTTAAGGGTGGATTTGAAACTAGTGGAGAAAACGCGGACCGTTTTGGATGGGACTAGGGCGGAGAATGATATCACTAGTTCTCTATGCTTAGCATAGGTTTGTCTCTTTCAACCATGAGCATATTAGAACGTGTTTTCCCTCGTTTAATTGAGAAAGGTGAGTATTCTTTAGCGCTTGTCTTTTCTTTTGAGTTCGAATGGTGCATTTTTCCACCCTAAAACTTGATTTGTTTTCCTAAGCCTTGCCATGTTGTGTTAGTCTTTGTAGTGTTTTCTTTTTCTCTTCTCTCTTAGTTTTGCTTGAAGACAAGCAAGAGGCAAGTGTGGGGGATTTTGATGAGTGGCATTTATGTCACTATTTCACCCTTTTCACTAATGATTTTCCCTCATTTGTCACTTGAATGCGCCTTTTCTAGCTGTTTTAACCTTTGTTTTGGTTACTTTTGTTCTTTCTCGTGTTTTTCCTCTTCTTTTATCTTTTTCTTTTGTTTTATTTCTTTTCTTTGTTAACTTTGAAGGTTTTTGGCACCTTGGGATGAAATTAAAGGAGCTAAGGAAGAGGAGATGATGCTCAAGAGAGAGGGCGCCAGCTCTGCAAAGAGCCGCGGGCTCGGACATGATGAATTGGAGCTCATCTTTAGAACCTTAGAAGGTCGGCCGCGCCCTTGGAGAGGAATCTCCCTAGTCATCCGCGGGCGCGACACTTCATGACGCGGGCACGGCATTTCGAGGATTTCCCTTGCTCCTCAGCCGCGACCTCTCCCCAATTGAGAGAGGCCTCTCCACCAACCACCGCGGGCGCGACATTTCATGACGCAGGCCCAGCCTCCTGGGTTTTGTAGTTCCGTACCCAGCTTGGAGAGGGCGCGGCCTTGCTCGAGAGGGCTCTCCTTAGTACGTTATTTCTGGAATTTTGATGCAATATAAATAGACTTTCTCTTGAATTTTAGGGGGGAGGCTATTTTCCAAATATAATTAGAACTTTGTAGTGAGAGAAACTCTAGTATTTATAGAGAGGAAGTTGCTAAATCTTCCAGTTTTCATCATTGTAATCAAGATTTCTTCAAGTTTTCCTCAATTCAATGCAAGTATTTCATGTTTTCTTCATCAATCAAGCTTCATAGTAGTAATCTCTTTACTCTTACCTTTTATGTTTGGTTTAATTGCTTTTGATAGTGTTGATTTCCATCTATTTCCTTGATTTTACTTGTTTGATTGCTTTTTCCTTGAATTTGAATCATGTTAGCTTTGTTAAGATTGAATCCATGTATGGCTATTTTCTGTTCTCTAACTTAGATTTCTAGCTAGGAAAGGGGGTAAAGATCATGATTGATTTGGATTAAATTGTCGGTTGATTGGATTTAGCCTTGAGTAGATGATTTTGTGCTTAAATTGCTTGGAGTTATTGATGTGCACCTTTATTTCCAATATTTGAGTTCTAAATTAGATGCATGGGAATGATCTAGTTTAGTTTTGACCTATTTCATCAATTTGCTTGAGTAATTGCATGGGAATGAATTATTTGAGTAGAATTTGTATTCCTTGGTATGAATCCATGTTGATTATCATTGTTGTCTTAGTTGATCATGATTGGAACCCCATTTCCCTAGTATTTTGATCATATTTCTCTCAAATCTTGTTTTCAATCCTTATTTTAGTATTTCTAGTTTGAATTTTCTTATTTTGCTTGCTTTAATCTTTTTCAGTAGATAATTTGATCATAGAAATTCACCACTAGTTGAAAAACTTAAATGAGCACCGCAGAATGCGCACCAGTTTTAAAAAAACCGGTGCGAAAAAATGTAGGCAAGATTGAGGGGAAGAGTTAATAGCACCGGTTCGGTTTGAACCGGTGCGAGTACTATTGTACAAAAAAAAAAAAAAACCACCGGTCATTTTGATTTTCTTTCTTTCTCTTTCCTCGATCTCTCCTCCACTCTCATCTGCCTCTCTTTCTCCTCCATTATTGAAGCGTACTCAAAATTCTCCATTGAAGGGTCTTCTGAGCTTTCTCTCCTCCACTGAAGCAGTCTGAAAGGTTAGATGCTTCTTTTTCTTTAATCATTGACCTAATTTAATTAATTAATTGTCACTATATACTCAATTTAGGGTTGTTCGAAGTTGGATAATTGAACTATTGGTTATAGATACTTGAGAATTTAACATAATTTTTGGAGTCTAGTTTGATGATCAAGTCAACTTTGGTTGCTAATGTGTTGCAGGGTTTGGTTTGTGGAACGTACTCGAAATTCTCCATTGAAGTGGCTTTAAACTTTATGAGCTTTCTCTCCTCCATTAAAGCAGTCTCTAAGGTTAGATTTTGACAATCTAGTGTTATTGTGTTAATCATGTATTTAATTGTTAGACTGTCAGTATATACTCAATTTAGGGTGGTTTCGGTGGTGGTGCAGGGGGGGTGGTTGTCGGGGCTGGGCTGGGGGCTAGGGCCTGGGGAGTGGCTGTCGGGCTGGGTCGGGTGGGGAATTGTTTAATTAATTTGCATGTTCAGTGAGGAACTTGAAATTGCGACATGTTTATTGAACTTGAAATTGCAACATGTTTATTGAAGTTGAAATTGCTATTATTTTCGGCTTTGTTAAATTTGGATTTCTTTTCAATTGATGTTGATTAGTTCTGTTTGACAATTGTAACTTCGAGGCATTGTCTATCAAATTGACATCCATGCTTGTTGGGTTTGACAATGGTAATAAGCGTGGGTTATTACAATATTTGTAATTTGTCAAGCATGGTCACAGACCATATGTTTGTTCTGTAGATCTTTCTGCTTATTTGTAGTTTATGTAGTTTGTGAAGTTAAAATACTTCTATTTGGTGGCAGGTCATGCATTTGAAGCCCGTATATATGCCGAAGATGTTCCAAAAGGGTTTCTCCTTTCTACTTGGGTTCTTCCTGACCTTCAACCTGTTCTAGAATCAGATACAAGTTTTGGCACCTTTTGTCAGTTTTTATGTGTACAATTATAATAGTGCACTTTAAATAATCTTTACCCCCGCAATATAGAGGTTTACAGGTGGTTTTGTCAGATTAATTGTTGCACCAAGCTCGTTCAGTTTCCCCTTCTATTGGAATGATCAATTTCAATATTGGAGGAACGCTTTGATTTTTAAATTAATGGTGTAGATGTGATATGTCTAATTTTGCATGATGTTATGATTTGTTAGAGTGTTTCTCCTTCACAAATCACATTTGTTACTTGTTTAAGTCCACCTGTCATTTTTGCTGCTCTATAACATACTTTCTTGTCAAGTACTCAAGTTATCTTCTTTGAACAGTTCGTGTTGAAGACAGGAGTTGAACAAGGAGACGCTGTTAGTATGCATTACGATCCCATGATTACAAAGCTTATTGTTTGGGGAGAAAACCGTGCTACAACATTAGTTAAGCTGAAGGATTGCCTATCAAAATTTCAGGCATGGATCTAGAACCTTTTTTGCATCTGTTTTTGCATTCTGTGCTTGGTTAACAACTTAACATCAATTATTGTTGATACAGATTTATGAAACCTGTGATATATCCTTGATTTACCATGAGATTGAGATGGTTGTCAAATAATTTGCTTACCAGTTATATGTCCAATACCATCTTTGATGCTAACAAACTTTATGTTAGATATCATGCATGCTATAAATCTAGGATTGTTTTAAAATGTTGTTCCTGCTCGGTCTGCTTGACTTGCAAGAACTGTCAATGATCCTTTAGACTTGTCATGATCGCTATATAGCCTGTACATGTAATGCATGCACTTCATTTTTGTTGAGTCCTTGATTGTCCAAATCCTTGTTTTCAACTAGGCACTGTAGTCTTTACTAATATTTATGGTGTATTTGGAAAGATAATAGCAAGCACATATACATTTGGAATGGCCTACAATACCACCACTTTTGGCTAAAAATTGGGATAATAGCAAGCACATATACATTTGGAATGGCTGGTTTGGTGGTCAAGGTTCTCATGAAGAATGAACAGAAAGTAGAGGCAGGGCAACCAGTATTAGTAATGGAAGCTATGAAAATGGAGGTTTGTGCCGCATACATTTTTTGTATAACTTTTTATCTGCTCCAAGTCTTAGATTCTAATGGTTTTAAAATGCTGTACTTCCTGATCCAGCATGTTGTAAAGGTTCCTTCCTTTGGTTTTATTCACGGGCTTCAAGTAGCTCCTAGGCAGCAAGTTTCAGATGGTAGTATTCTCTTCATTGTGAAGGTGTATCATCTTCCTGCTGATCATGCTTTTTCATTTTAAAATTTAACAATTTACAGATAAAATTGCATAAAATAATTGTTATTACGTTGTTGAGACATGGATTTTGAATATGTATATACTAATTACAACTTTTATGCACCATATATTCCTTCTATTACTGTTCTTAGTTTATCTGAGAGGGTCATATATGGTATATCCTTGAGTTGTGCTTTTTTTTTTTTTTTTTTTTTTCTAATCTTCATAATGTTCTATTTAATCTTAGGAATGGTGCATAAAAGTTTTTGGGTATTCTGATTGCTGTTGGTGAGGCTGCAACCAGCGCTTAGGGGGAGCCCTCTCCAAGGACCCGCAGGCGCGACATCGAGAGGAGAGGGTGCGGACAGGGTTTTGAATTCTCCCTCGAGTTCCTGAAACAAATATTTACATCATCTCAACATAGGTTCAGTTGCTTACCTTTGCTTGAGTAAGAAAAGGTCAGCTAGGGTCAAAGTTATAGGCATAGTAAGTTATTAATTAAAACAGTTGATCATTCTATTCTAACTCTTTAGGTGAAGTTCTCTACTTCCTGTATCTTTGTTAATAATGTCTTAAGTTGTACCTATGCGCACCCGAATTACAGAATCATCCTACAACAAATATCCATATATTTCTTGTTGAGAAAAAAATTAGTCTTTGATGCATTTTTCCTCATATATGTAAGCAGAAAATAATGAAGAAATTGGAGACACAAGGGATATTGATAACATCACATAAGGATATTATCATGAGGAAGGACTTATTGATCAAGATCTTGAACATGAAGATGCATGTTCGCATAGTGAACCACTAAACGGTGAGGAACTCATGAATGTAGTGGAGGAAGAGGAACTTAACATGTCAGCACTCAGCAGGTATGACTTAATTATCACTTAATTCATATATAAATGACAATTTGGTTTATTTGTCTTGGTTTATTTTGTGTTTATGATGTCAGATGATAATCTTAAAATGCTAATTTTATTGTATTTTTGCTTGTTAGATGCGACTGTTGTTGAAAAGCCGGCTGAGGTTAGGAAGAAGCCAGCTAAGAGGTTTGATTTTGTGTTTGAACCAAACCAGAAAAGAGAGCAAAAGCAGCAGCTAAGACCAGGGGCACAGACTTTGTGTTTGATTTTGTGTTTGTACTATTACAACCTTGTTTAATGAAAATATGTAGCTTTATATATATGTTAGTGTTTCTATATCAATTTAAATGAATTTTTTTTTTTTTGAGGGTATTTTTGGCACTGATTTTGAAACAGAACCGGTGCTAAAAGTTTTTTTTTTTTTAATTTTTTTGGGCCATTTTTCGCACCAGTTCACTGCAAGAACCGGTGCGAAATCTTTTGGTATTTGTCATCCCTCAAATAAGGACCGGTTCAAAACTGGTGCTAAATGGGGGTTTTGAACCGGTGCTCATTTGTATTTTTCGCCTAGTGCACGAAAACAATCAAAATACCCCTTGTTACTTGCATTAGATTCTTAATTCCACTTTGATTGTGCAATGCCCCGTATCCTTGTGGTTCGACCCTAGCTTGCCACTATCTAGTGTGAACTTCATAGAGTTAGGTTAGGATTATAAATTGTTGATTTGATTTAGGATAGTAGACACGACCTATTATCCGCCGATTAGAATCATGCTTATGATTTTTTTTTTTCTTCTTTTTTTTTTTTTCCTTTTTTTCCTTTTTTTTATTTGTTTTTTTTTTATGATTTCTAGTATCATGTTTAGGATGTTGATTTTGATTCCTAGTATCATATTTAGGATAATTCTTTGATTATTATGATTTTTATTAGTAACATGCTAGGATTTGTTATTAATCCGTTTAGTATCATGCTTAGGATCTTGCTATTGACGAGGTTTTGATTATGATGATGATTGTTGTATTAACTTTATGTTGCTTGATTATTTATGATTTATTGTTATTGCTTGATCACACCCCTTCTTGCAGGTTTAAAGGGAATTTGTACTTGAAATCACGGCTAATAAGATAATTAATAATTTGAATTTAGGTTCAATATGATTTTAATTCAAGTGATCACCAATAATATATTTGATTGTGCAGTGTTAATCAACTAACGTCAATTAAATATGCTTAGGATTAATTTGATGTACGTATGTTGATTGAAAAGCGCACATGAATATCATAAAAATTAAGTATAGGCCGATTTAGGGCGGGTTCAATCTCTTTTAGATTGGATTCGTACCATTGTAGGGAATTTTTCAAAACTCATCTTTGAGCCCCACGGTGATCATGTTTTTAAGCATGGTGGCGTCCAAAGAGAAGGAAGCTAGAAATAAAAGAGTCGCCAACAAGTTTTAGGAACTTGTAAACTATTCATGGGTGTGAAGGTTACACCTCATTCACGATCACGGAGATCGCTAACTCCATAGTGGTCCGGAACCATAACTGGACATTTGGAGATGATGGTACGAATCCAACCTAAAATAGATTGAACCCGCCCTAAATCAACCTCTACATAATTCTTATTATGATATTTATGTTTGCTTTTTGATCAACATACATTCATCAAATTAATCCTAAGCATACTTAATCTACATTGGTTGATTATTAATTAACAATCAAATCCATTATTGGTGACCACTTGAATTAAATCCATATTAAACACTAATTATCTTATTAGGCGTGATTTCAAGTACAAATTCCCTTTAAACTTGCAAGAAAGGGCATAATCAAGCAATAATCATCAATCATGAATAATCAAGCAATTTATATTTGACACAAGAATCATCATCATAATCAAAATCATCAAAATATGATAAGCAAGATCCTAGGCATGATACTAAATGGGTTAATAACAAACCCTAGCATGTCACTAAGTAATCAAGATCAAAGGTTTAGCCGAAACATGATACAAGAAATCATAATAAATGATTCGGGGTCTTTTCTGTGTCTTGCGAGAGAGTTACAATTCCAAGACTGGATCCGTGCGCCTGTACCTGCAAAACAACGGAGACTCCGGTTGGGTGGAGTTCCGCCTCCGAAGATCAAGTTAGAACGTGTTCGGATGTAAAAAGAACGGAAAGTAAAGGGGATCAGGCTCCTCTTAAAAGAGAAGTGATCATCCGACTATCTCAGACACCCTCGAAATCCGAGCCTTAGCTATGAAGAAGTGAAATTAAATTTGGAGTTAATGCTCAACAATTAATGTACACGTGTGTTTAATAATTTCTCAATCCTGTTCCCTAGGGGGAACATCTCCCTTTTATAGGGTCTCGTAATGTGTGCCAGTCGTAGGTTTACAGAAAACCTAGGTTTGACTAGGTTTCCTTGGAGTATGGGCCTTGGAAGGCTACTTGTCCAAGTTGGCAATCTGTCTGCCACGTGTCATGCCCTGATTGGTCCACTTTGGACTCTTCGTTGAGTGACACGTGACGGACTCTGGTTGGTCCATGTGGATAACACATGGAGGGCCCTGACAGGTCCATGTGGAGGACACGTGGCAGAACCGGATTGGTCCATGTGGCCGGGTAAAAATCCCCTAATCATTTGCCCCATACAAGGGTGACGTGGCATGCCACGTGGCACTTGTGACAGGCGTCAGCTTGTGAGTGGAGGACGGTTTTAACCGTTTTTCCCACTCTTTTTTAATTTTTTTATTTGAAGGGTCACCCTTAGAATTCTCATGCCCCCCTATATAAGGGACATGTCCTAATCATATGTTCACACCTTTGCAAGAATTTTTCGACGTAGAACCTCTGGATTTTTAGAACTTGAGATTCTCTGAGAAAAACCTTTGGACCGCCTGCTTCCTGACCGCCTGTTCGTTACAGTCCACCGAGATAATTTGCAAGCGCCTCCAACAACTTCAATTTAAAGGTAACCGCCTGTTTTCTCTCGTACTTAAACTTGTTCTTTTTCCTTTTTGAAAAATGGTTTCCCAAAAGTACACGGAACGGCCTTGGTTAGTGATCTTTCGGTCACCGGGGACAACTGAGTCTAGAACTAGGAGTGCCGACTGCCCCTTGGTAGACCTCTCTTTGTGAAGTACCCCGAGTCCGACTGTCTATATGTTTGTGCAGAACACCATGGCCAGAATCAAGCAAACTTCCAGGCAGACAAACCTAGATGGCTCCTTTAGGGCGCCTCTTAGTGAGCTGTCGGATATGCCGCCTGGAACCCCAAGTACCCCAAGTGATTCTATTTTAAATGAATCAGGAGATGAACTTCAAAATGAGGACTCGATCTCTGTTGGACAGGCCCCCCATGCGGACGCTAGGTCTGAGAGCTCAAGCAGTGACTCTGAGCCAAGCAATTCAAGTAGAGTTTCTGATGACTCTAAAGAGAAGCACTCTCGGCTGGAGACAGCGAGAGAATCCCTTTTAGTAGAAATGGGAGAAAACTGGGCGGAGCCGTCTGCTACCCGCCGAGAGAAGTATGCCGCCTATTATCATCATGTTCCCGCAGGCAGGCGGAAAATGATGGCGGACAAAATAAGGAGTTTTAGAGTTGACCATGTCATAGGGCATGGTTTTATCTTATGTACGCCAAATGCCGAGGACACCGTAGTCTGGCCAGAGGGATCTAGCAACGGGGACGAATGTTTGGCTGCTGTGAGGAGGCTATTAAGGCTTGCCTTAAATTTCCCCTACATCCGGTTGTGGAACGAATCCTGGACGGATACCAGCTGGGTGTCTGGCAACTGGCCCCAAATTCTTGGTTCAACATCTTAGGCTATGTTGTCGGCTGCAAAATGCATGAAGTAGACCCCAGCTTTGAAGCATTTGCCCACATGCAATACCTCAACCGAACCCCAAAAGCAAGCGGTTCCGGCTGGTACACTTTGTCTGGACACAAGGGCTATATGATGACTTTAAGGGAGGAGAACAAATGGAAAGACTGGAGAAACACCTTCTACATTGTCTCCTGCACTGACAAAGTCAAAAATAAAAAGTATAACAGGTGGAACAGGAACCCACCTTTTCTAAAAGGCAGCTTAGAACTGTTGCCTGTTCCTAAGAAAGTCAGGGAAGAGATCCTGGATAAGGGCCTTTTCAAGGTGGACATCCAAGTCAATAGAGAGACTGGGGCGAGAGAGTTCATTCCCCAAATCTACATTCCCAACTATGACTGGTTGTACGATGAGACCTATCTGGCTGCCTGTGGCCTTAGTGTAGAAGAGCCGAGAGGTAGTTGACCGCATGTTTAAGTGCTTAGCAAGACTTGATTTATTTTGTGTCATACTTAACGTATTGAATCTTCTTATGCAGATAAAGCTATGGAGAAGCTCTCGGAATCCAAGAAGGTTGTCGCACAATACCGCTCGGCCATCCTTGACAAGCGACCAGCTGAAGAGTCGCTGCTTCGTAGGCGCCCAAGGTGAACTTCTTTTCCATTTGTCTAAGTAAAAATTTATTTGTTGTCTCCTGCTTCTCACTCTGTGCTTTTTGTTGCAGGGCGACTCAAACAAACCCTCTCCTCACTCACAACCTGATCCGAAGATTCAGAAACAGACGATTGGTGACATGAGTACTCTTGGAAAATCCAGGAAACATGTGGCCAATCGGCTATCAAAGAACCATCCTCCCAAATCCCCAGTCGTCGCCAAGGGCAACCGGCCCCAGAAGGAGAAGGAGGCGGCAGTAGGAGGTATCCAAATCTTTAATCCTTTGCCTTACCCTTGTAGGGTCAAGTTCAATCAGCAGTCGTCTAGTACCTCTGAAAGCAGTCGGTCTATTGGCCGAGTTTACACCAAGTACTTAAAAAATGTTGATTGTGCAGATGCCCCTCAGAGGCCAGATCTTCAACAACTGGCCAATACCATGCTAAGAGTCGTCTCCCTTGAAGACAGGGAGTCGGCACCCTCAAATTGGATGCCATCCTCGCCCTTCTAGCCGAGTTATCCTTGTAATTTTTTACTTCCTCTTTTTTTTTTTTTTTACACAACTCTTAGAGCCCTGTGTGACTAATGTTCTCTTTTGCCGAATGTAGTCTATGTTGCGAGTGCACGATCTTCGCAGGCCCATCAATGAGAAGACCAAGGAGGTAAAAACTACGAATGCTTGCTCCGCCTCTCTCTGAATACGACCATGTTTCAGATTGCTCAATATGAAATATTGACGGCTGATATTCTGTATTCACAGGCGACCGCAAACCTGCAGGTAAAGTTTGAGTTAGACGCTGCGAAGAGGCAGGTCTCTGAGCTAGAGCATCAGGTCAAGGACCTCAAGGCCAAGCTCGAGCCTCTTAAAGAGGCGGAGAAGGAAGCAAACGACCTTTGTACTCGTGTGGAAAAACTGAAATAGTGGTTGGCTAACCAGGAAGTCCAGCTTGCCAAAAAACACACTTCTAGAGCCGAGGAGGAAAAGCAGGCCTTAGTCAAAGACATGATGGACGACTGCAACGTCATCATGGACATGACTTGGGCGGCTCTTTTCCCGGACGCCAGATATGAGGGCTGGAAGAATCAGATTGTTGCCTCTACTCAAGAGTACAACGACAAAATTATGGGCCAAGCTCAAGATGGAGAAGAGGAGGAGGACGAGTCGTCTGATTCGGTTGATGGGTCTGGTCAGGAGGAGGAGTAAGATGCTGAAAAGGAGCAGCAGACGGCCGAAAAGGATGCGGCAGCTGATGCTGAAAAGCCCCCTCCTGATGCTTAAGATTTGGGGTATCTTTCTACGGCCGGATGGCCACGTATTTCTTTTCTCGGCCTACGTGCCGCTTACTTTGTATCTTTA